ACAGAGTGATGGACATTGGGACTTTACAAGCCCCTGAAGTATAGGAAAATTGGTGGGAGGAGAAGTAAGTTTAGGTAAATATGAACTTGAACTTTTTAAAAAGATAAAAACCTAAATCTTAATCACTAAAATAAACAAAGGCAGACTAAGGAACTGGGAAAGAAGGGTCACCCTCACCATTTCCATTCAGCACTGTACTGGAGTTGTTAATCAGTGCAATGAGGCAAGAAAAAGGGAAAAAAAGAAAAAGGAAGGGAAGAAGAAAAAGAAAGAAAGAATGATGTAACTCCCATGTTTTTAGATCTAGAAAAACTAGAAGAATTTATAAACTACTAGAATTTTAAAAATAAACACCTTGAGATTACTAAATATAATAGGATCATATACAAAATTACTTATATTTCTATGTGCAACAGTAGAAAATAATTATGAAGAATACATTATTTTTAAAAACCTTTCATCCACCAAAACAAAATATGTGAAATCACTAAGCTAAAATCTTTAAAATATACCAAGAAAATTGTAGGATATCCTAGTTAAATGAAGAAATACACTATGATCATTGGAAATTCAGTAGTAAATTGTCAAATCTGCCTAAGTAAATTGGTAGGATTAATGCAGATCTAATGAAAACATTATCATGTTTTTGTAGGAGTTGAGGGGCTACTCAAAAATTATCTTAATTTTTTTTTTAGCTAACAGAAGAAAAAGGCTGGGAGGCTTCCATAGCCACATGCCAGTTCCTACTACATTTGCACAGTAATTAAGATAGTGTGGTGTTTGGCAAAATAATCAACACACAGACTGGCGGAATAGAATAGGACAATAGAATAGAAAGTCCAGAAACAGACTCACACATAATCAGCTGAAGTGCAAAAATGAACTACTCCAATTAAGGGAGGGAACATGGTTTTCAAGCAAATTAGTGCTGTATCAAGTAGGTACATACTAAAGACATGTGGAAGGTTTAGCAATATAGCTTTCAAAAAAACATATAGAAGAATATCTTCATGATTTGAGAACAAGCAATGATTTCTTAAATTAAGCACAAAAAGCACAACTTTGAAAGAAAATATGAGTAAATGAGATTTTCTTAAATTTAAGAAATTATTTTCATCAAAAGTCAACAATGGAAGTAAGTAAATACTGGAAAAATATTTGTGGTATACATAAACAAAAATATATTTTGAATGTAAAAGTAAACAATATTTTTATGAATTTAAAAAATATTGTCTAAAGAAACACACAAATGACTCTAATAGATATCTCACAAGAGAGGATGTCCAGACATCTGATTAGCATATGAAAATTGTTCTTCTGGGAAAAGAGATTCAAGCCAGAGGGAGGTAAAAAGTAAAACTTTGCATTCACAAGAATGGTTGAAATTACAAGGACTGTAAGTGCCACCTCTTCACAAGTATGTGGGGTACCTAGGATCGACACAGTTTGCTGATGGGAGCATAAGTTTGTATGGACACTTTGGAAAACTACAGTGTCTACTGAAACTATATGTGTACTTGCCCTGTGACCTGAAGACTCTGCCCTGAGTAGAGAGCCAAGAGAAATTTGTAAGCCATGCATACTAAAACACACAGAGAAATGCTCATGAGGATTTTTTCTTAATGGCCCAAATTTATAAGCCAAGTATCCATTAATAATACAAGAGGTAAACTGAGGTACATAAATATAATGCAATTCTGCATAGAAATGAAAGCAAACTTTTGCTACATGTAACAGTGGAAAATTCCCACAGCTAGGCTTTAGAGTGAATGAAGAGCAAGATATAAAACAGAACATACAGGATGGTTGCCTGTGTATCATAACAAATAAAATTCATGTACAATGGTAGGCTTAGGATAGTATTTAACTTTGGAATACCAACTAGGAGGAGTTGTAAAGGGGCTTCTAGGGCACTAAAATTGTCCCATAGCTTAACCTAGAAGATGGCTACATAT